TTGTCATTTAAATTCAAGTTTATTTCAATTGCTTTACTTTTCATTGTTATCGCACTTCAATTAAGTTTAATTTCAAGTTCATTTTACTTTATCGTTCTTATCGCTTTCATTTCATTCTTGCTTTATTTATTGCTTTAATTCATTTTATCGCACTTTAATTCTCGTCTTTACGTTATTTATCTTTCGCATTTTACTTTACGCGTTTGTCTTTAAATTATATTTAAGTTTAAGCACATTTACTTTACGCAATTATTCTTCGTTTCATTACGTTTCACCTTCAATCTTCATCTTCACCCACTCCACATCATTTGGTCGCTCACATAAAGCCTTGACCCCGAGGTAGTGAAAGAACCTAGGCCGTGAGGAGGTTCCTTGCTCGGCCGAACAATCGTTTGATTAAAGTCAGATCTCGGACGCAACACATCCATCAACTCACATTCCATTCAAGCCCAAATTCGGGGCTTGGTGGTGGCACGCCCCGCACTCAAAAAAGAAGAAGGACCAAAAACTCCTTCAATCGGCCTACCCGGCCGAAAAGAGGGAAACAGGTGTTTATATATATATTTATCTAAGTGGGAAAATATGTGGATTTGTTTTCAGGTTGGGGTTTCTTGAGCATGTGCATGGTGAGTGCTTTGCATAGGTGTGACCATTGTTATGATGTTTGGACAATGTTGTTTTGCAATATACGCCTTGGATAGGGTATGGTTGCAGGAAAGAAATGATTTTGGAAAGGTAATTTGAGTTCAAAGAAAACGGTTAGTTTTAAAAGAGTTATGCATAGTACATGTGAGTTTCTACAGGGAAATGGTTTTGAGTTTGAATCATAGGAAGAAAGGAGTTTATAAAATATTTAGTTAGATGCTTTGTGGAAACTGAAGTTAAGAATGAATCTAAATTTAATTGTTGATTTTACTTAGACAATATATGTATGTTTCTAAATTGTGATCCTTTTTGTCATAAGGACTACGTGTGGCTTGATCCCTCACAAAGGGGTACGTAGGTAGCCTGGGGTTTCACCTAGGTGCAACCGTGAATTAAATTATTATTTTTGTTGAGTTTGGTTTTGAATATGTCGGTAGGCCTGAAGCCTAATTGAAACTTGGGTGAGATTAAATTACTGAATGGATGTTGTTAAGATGTGTTTGTGGCTACGACAGGTCTGAAACCCATTTTAGAGTGATGATTGATTCTGGTAAAGTCCATTTTTCAAGGGAGACTTTGCCAAAATTTCGGTAGAAGTCTCAACCCCTTTTTCCTTTGTTTAGAAGAAGGGGATGTTTTTAGTCGGTGGGCCGGGCATCGGTTTGATGTTAGATAGGTAACAGGGTTCGACATGGATTCCAAAGTGGAATTCGGGTTTGATCTTATTATTCGCTGATCCGCAACACCCCCACTTCATTTGCAAACGTCAAAAGGCCTTATCTGGACTCAAACAAGCCCTCCATGCATGGTTTAGTCGCTTCATCGTCTTTCTACTATAATTTGGGTTCACTCAAAGCAAAACGGATTCTGCTCTCTTTATTTATCGCTCCTCATACTATTTATTCTTACTGGCAGACATGTTGATTTTATTTCTTCCTTAGATGTCAAGGACTTGGGCTCCATGCGTTACTTTCTTGGCCTTGAAGTTCTTCCACATGATTCCAAACTCCACATCTCTCAAGTCAAATAGACGTTGGATCTTCTTCACCACAACTCCATGACTGAATGCAAGCCCTCCTCCACTCCACTTGCCGCCAAGCACCACCTCACCACACATGATGGTCCACTTCTCAACAACCCAACATAATTTCGCCATCTAGTTAGCTCCTTGTAGTACCTCATCTTAACTAGATCCGCCATATTAACAGTCATCGTGTTCAGTTTGTTCCCTCCATTGATCAAGTTGCTGACCTCCTCACAAAAGGTCTTCACAAGTCGTCATCTCTAGCTCTTTGACAAACTCGTCCGTCGACGACCGTCGTCCAGTTTGAGGGGGAGTATCACGCAATCAACTCATGGTTAGGCCCTTCCTCCATTATAGGAATCCTCCTTCCATATTTGTATACATGTTAATATTGATTTACCTTCCTTGTATTGTTGATTCAGTATACATCTCTACTAGGGTTTTTAACTGTGTATAAATCTCTGATGTATCACACTTATCAAATCAATCCAAAATACAAAGTTTACAGGATGCATTCAAATTTGTGTCTCAAATGCATACCCATCATTTTACTACATGTAAATAAGCATCAAATATCAATTTCCCCTTGTACATACAATCGACTGAAATCCAGTTTATAAATACTACCACAAGCTTGAAACTTCTTTTTGGTGTTGCCTCGTTAAGCTAGGATCAAATGTAGTTGATGATCATCAAGATTCTGCTCTCCTACTTGTGATAATTATAAACAACAAGACATGAGATGGGTTAAATATTTTACATATAAAAAAAAATTTGAATTAGTAGGGAAAACAAAGACATTAACAGGAAACAGTAATTCTCTAAATATTGGATGTACACTGAGTTTGCATAACATATGGCGATTGGGATGCCATATTTTCTGACAGGACCCGACCCAAATCCCACTTTGGAATCTGTGCCGAATCCTATGTGTGTCCGACACCTGGCAGGTGCCAAACACTCTTGACCAAATTGCCTTTCTAACAAAAACCATAATTAACTTCAAGTTTGACTTCTGCCGAAAATTCGGCAGAGTCTCCCTTGTAAATACTCGTTTCCCAAAAATTTACACATGTACAAATAGCAATTTATAACCACAAACGTTCAGCATACACAATAATAGAATTCATGCAACCAAACATCAAATCTTTATGGCCTCAGGCCTCTTTAAATCAAATAAAACGTTTTACCAACTGAAACTGATCCCAACTTTTGGAACAACATAATACGTTAACAGATTTCAAAATAACTTAACTGAATAGCTTTTCAAACACTTGGTCTGGCGACTGCACCTAGTAACTTTAGGTTGCCTACGTACCCTTAACAAGGGATCAAGCCACACGTAGTTCTTTCTCTTTGTTTTATTGACAAGTTATGTATTCACCTTTTATGTTTACCACCTGTTTTGCAAAATTAAATATGGAAAGAAATTAAAAAGGAAAAGAAAATAATGAGAGGAGGATAACTTTTAAATTGGAATAGAAACACAAGGAGAACAAAACGGGTAAATAAAAACTTCACTTAAGAAAATAATCGTGAATTATTCAAAATCCTTAAAACTTAGAAAACTCTTAATCCTTGTCTCTAAGTAGGAAAGCATTTATTTTTGCCCTTAAATACCAAGATAAAATCCTCAATTTTTAGTTTAAAACGTCTCAAAACTTAAATACTCTCCACCTAGGCGTACCCCCATTCATGATTCGTCAATTGCACTAAATTTTCGTCAATTCCAGTAATGTACCATCAATTCAATGAATTTCTATATATTTCCCACATTATACCGTCAATTCCTTATGTCTCATAATGTGACGCATCCTCGCAAGCCTTGGTAACACAAAGTCAACCCGAGCCACATTCCTCGCAGAACTCGGGGGACATATAGTCAGCTCGAGAACACACATCCTCGCTCTACACGGTTCAGGCTTCCCCGAAACTCGCATTCTGATAAGAACTAGTGTCCATGATTCATCATTTTCAAACCACTGAGTATACATATTGAATTTAAATATATAATAAAACGTTTAATTAATTTCTCGTCCACACCAAAATTCAATTAATAAGCCATTCCCAACTTACACAACCAAACATAATATAATACCCTTTGAAGGTAGAAGCGATTACCTAATAACTCATAAACATTTGAATAATCCAATATCACCCAGTCATATACATTAATAATACTCATAATAACAATAAATAAATGAATAATAAGATAAACTTCGTATATGAGGACAACACCCAAGAATATCATAACACACTATAACATAGACTCATAATCCAAATTTAATCAAAATAGTTCACAAACAGTCAAGCCTCGTTTACACAGTCGTTCTAGCACTTCTCGAAGGGTGAAACTACCTCAGAAGACTCACGGTCAACCAAGGGTCAAACTTCCTACATTGGGTCAACTGGGCCCATGACTTCCGATTTCCAATCCGGAAGTTTCTATGGGTTCAACAAGGTTTAATAAACATGTATTGCCAGTTTGGTCCGAATCGAACGGTCGGATCGCTCACGATGGTACGATCAGACTGTTATCGTTAATCTAAATTTTGAATTATTGAATCGGAGTATCAGGGACTCCGATTCTCGATCCGCGAATTCCTACACGATCCTAGAGGTGCCTAGATCAACATATTTGAAAATCAAGTCGATCCAACGGTCCAAACATATCAAACTCGGATATCGCCTAATATGCGATATCCGATTGACAATCAAACGGTAACCAAATTGAAATCCGAGCATACCGTCGTGCTCGGACGACATGAGGATCATTTTAGGACCAAGAGGGACACCCAAACGGTGCCCACGAACCGCCACACGCGTTGGGAGCGCATGGGTGTCCAAAGCAATTCCGGCGATCGGAAAAAATCTCCTAACCACCGGTCAAGACCTCATGATCAGGACATTGAGTGGAGCAACTTTTGTTCTTGAACCAATCCCAAAAAGTGGCCGGAAGTGGCTTGAATTTGGAGCAAAAACTGGCCAAATTTCAATAGCTTATTTGAGTTACCAAACGCAGAAATCGATCCTAAATAACCCAATCATCAGCTAGAACACATTGAGAGGATGAAAAAGCATACCTTGATCGAAGAAAATGGTGGCCGGAATCGCCGGAACGAGCGACGGAAATTTTGACAAAAATCTGGCAGATTTTTCGTCAATTTTCACATCCAAAATCTGAAGAATGATTTGGCTTTCAAGGGTAGATATTAGATGGGTTTTGTAGAGGAGGAGGAGGAGAACAACTTTTGTGAAGGAAGCACCGCTAACTGAGGTCGGACTGCGCCGGAATCTGACCGCTAAGTGGTGGCTGCGCAAAAGAAAAAATGGAGGTGCTGTTTCGAGGAGAGATAGAGAGCTTCCAGTTTTTTTATAAAAAAATCTGACTTCGCAAAAATTACGATTATGCCACTGGACTTCTTTTAATCGTAACTTCTTCGTTACAACTCCGATTTGAGCCCACTACGTGTCTACAAACTCATCTCGACGTGCTCTATGCAACGGTACAACTGAAATTCCCAAATTCTTTCCAGAGCAAAAAGTCAACTTTTAAATCATTAAAATAATCTCGGAGTAAAATTGTCTTTTAATTGAATAGATTAATAATTAAATATTAATTTAGGATCGGGTTATTACATTTTCTGTGACGGCTTGAAACTTTGGTCACATGACAATAGTACTTGCCTCGAGAATCCCGAGAATACAATGCCCTATCTCCACATCAACATACTCCTAAGTATTGCCAAAGTACGTTAAACCCTTTTGTTAAGTTAAAATGGGTTGGATAAGAATGTTATTGGTTGTGGAAATTAAAACAAAATATTTACATTTTACCAACCCTGAAGTTACGAGTTCGTTATAGTATGATAACCACAAAGATAATTTAGAAGCAAAAGAGAGTTCGAAACTAAGGATAGATACAATAGAATATACAAGGATTAGATCTTTAGTTAAGGTATTACCTCTTTATTAAGAACTGCATGCTAATACCAATGCCATATAAGAAATCATATAAATATGTGAGTCGTTCGGGGAATAATGAAGTAAGCCCTTCTTCCACAACCTTTTTCTACAAAAAAAATTGATATGTTAAGATATGTTCCTGTATATTTGTATGAAGAAGTTTAGAAAAGTAGTTAGTGTGATGTGCATACCAAACTATTTTGTTGTTGGAAATGAACGCTAATCTTTCTTGAGTAATCAAGCACTCCCAGTGCATTATCCTGATATTTAGCTTTCTCATAAAAGGGCTTAAAATCTGTATCACATTTGGACTTTTCAATCGTTGCTTTAATGTCAATGCTCTCGCTTTTGCTGTATTTATCCCTCCAAACACCCCTTTTCTTATTTTGAAGTGTCATGGTGGCATCAATGGGGAAATAATATCTCTCATTAGGCGACATGAGTAGAGGATGATGCCATAAATCATCTAAAGCCACCCTACAAATAAAATTAAATGATTCCATGAAAAAGTATAGAAATGGAAAGAAAAGAGAGAATTCTTTTATTAAATAGTTCCCTTACTTCGTTTTGTCAACCATGACATAAAAGTGTGTCAGCTCCACTCTTGTATTATTATCCCTCTCAAGCATTCTCGTAACCAAAGATCTAAATTCGCTCCTATAGGTTGGCAAATTCTCTGTATTGGATGAATTTGGAATGTCTTTGATATGTGCTCGATAAGACTTACGATCGATGCATATGTGATCAAGTGCCAAATAGCCATGACAATTTTTACGTTTTTTCATCAATTCAGGAAGCTTCCCAATGACGTCCCTTTGAAAAGGATATAATAAAAATGTTTAGAAATATATATATATACATGTATATATATATAAATGTTTTGAAAGGCGAGGCGTTAGGGCGAGGCGTTTTATGCCTTATGAAGCGAGGCGTAAGCCTCAAAGCATTGAAGCGTAAGCCTTTCGAGTATTGAGTTATTATAATTACAAAAATATAAAACAGCTATTGAATGTATTAAATGCCACTCTAAAAAATAAATTAACCATCAAACTTGTTTCTTCAAAACTTCTCTTACTATTTGCTCAATTCTTTGCTATATACCGGTTATATTATCTCTCTAAGTCTAGTGCCTTTCTACCTAGTTCGGATAGATAAAAGAGTAGATTATGGAGGTGGACTGAACTGATGGTGGAAGGTGGGAGGCGGTTTCTGTTGGTCTATTTAGGAAGTTTGGCTTTTGGGAGAGGGAAGGAATAAATGGGTAAATTGGTTTCTTTTGAACAAAACGGTGTGTGTCTAATGTTAAAACTTAAAACTGAAACGCACAGCTTAACTAAAGGGAAACAAAACAACACAGCCCGTGCAAACGACATCGTCCGGAATCAGATTTTTCAAATAAAGGAACTCTGTCTTCCTCGCGAGGCTTGCGCCTTTCATAGCACATTTGCGTTTAGAGGCCGCCTCGGACCGCCTCGACTTCAAGGCGTACGCCTTTCATGACATTCGCTAAACTGAGCTGCGCCTAAGGCAAATCACAGCCGCCTCACTCCAAGGCGTGCCTAGGCATGCCTTTGAAAAATATATAAGGAAAAAAGAAGTTAAACTGTATGAAACTCACCGAATAATATTGCGGTATTTTTCTGCAACATAATTACCATCCCATGGTGAAGTCGCACGATGACTCTCCTCTAGCATCTCAGCTAAGGTATAATGGGAATTTGACGGTTCTCTAGTAGCAGGCTCAGTTACTACTGCGGTTGTATCATCCTGGTTGCTAGAAACCTTTTTGTATTTTTGTAAGCATTTGGGAATATCAACCGTAAGTGCACCTTGCATACTATGGGAAATTTTATGCTGGGTGGCATTATTCATTTTCGATGCTTTTGTGTAGATGAACAAAGTAAGAATACCAAGAACTTGACGAGGTTGGACAGTAATCACTCAAAAAAAATTCAATAATATGAAAACAAGCAACTAAGAAGAACAATCAATCACCCACTTTTATAGAACTCCTTGTATGCTCACAAGCTTGCTTTGGCCTCTTTCTAAGCACTCTTACGTCTTCTTGTCTAAAAATTTAAATATTTTATTTCCAAAGAGACTGAGTCCAATGAGAGTGGTGATTCTATATCCTTCCTTGCAAAAGCGTAGGGGAGTAAAAAAATGAAGAAGAAAGACATTTCAGAGATTGTCAAAATAAGGGGAAAAAGCAGACGAGAGAAATATGGTTTTAATTTTTTTTTAATTATATATATAAGCACTCGTCTAAATTATTTTAAATTAATCTAATTATCGGGGAGAAGGGGATTTAAATTTGGGTAAAGGGGATGGTCAAACTACCATAACCCACTGCCTTTGTGCAAACAAAATATTTTAGTTTTTTTTGGGTGGAATGAAATGTTTTAGTAAATTCCCAAAATAATAAGTCAATTAATCAACAAAGAACATACGACAGAGAATTTGCACAGCGCATCATATAGTCGTGGTAGGTACATTTATATATAGTGAAATAACTAGTATCATCAAGCAACCAATGGAGTTGCTCCTTTGAGTGCGTACTTATCTGAGATAGTTACAAGTCGTCTGTTGTTTGATCCCAAAAAAAAAAGAAGTCGTCTGTTGTTTTTAAATCTCCAACCCATGTTATGTATTCTAGGTAGGAAACTTGTCATAATCAATCCTAACATGATCGACCTTAATTATGTTGCTTTCAGTTAAGTCGACTTTTGGTGACAAAACCATATTTAATAGCTAGTATTTTATACAAAATACGAGTACAGAGTACTTTTTTTTATGAATGATGATGCATCAAAATGGTCAATATTAGAAAGGTCATTCATTCAAATTAATAAATTAATTCTTTACAAAGTAGGAACTAAGGTACAAAATATCGATTTTTTTGGAAATATTGGTAGTCTAAAAATACGGAAATTTCGATGGAAATATCGGGATATTATCGATATAGATAAAAATTGAATAAAAACCACGAAAATTGTAAGAAAAACTTGGAAATTTTTCTTGCAACTTTGGAGGAAGTTTATTTAGTCAATTATCTATTACTTTATCACAAAAAAAATTAGAAGGAAATGCATTGCATGATGGGTTTAACTGATTTAAGTTGATTATATAGCGAGCTGATAAACACTGCGAATGTGTTCTATATGTAGTAATTAATGAAAGAAGATTAAACACACCATAATCATTTCTTTATAATGATTTACTGTATTTTACACTTTATACATTGCATGGTAAAATACATGAGTAACTTAGTACCACATAGAGTTCCTATTAGGTTCAATTTTGAGTTATTTACACTAACACCTCCTGAGGTTTTTGACTTTCTCACAAAATTTCATGAGGTTTTCGTAATTACAAGAACAACCCCTGAGGTTTTTGACTTTCTCACAAAATTCCATGAGGTTTTCGTAATTACAAGAACACCCCCTGAGGTTTTAAATTGTTTTAACAAAACTCATTTTCATTGATTTTTTATCCAAAGATTAATGATTTTATACAAAAAAAAAAATTTCTTCAAATGACAAAGTTGGCCTTTGAGATTAGATTGCATATACTTCATTGAGGTTAATTTTGTCATTTGCATAAGTTTTTTTTCTATGAAATCATCAATTTTTGGATAAACAATCAACAAAAAGGGGTTTTGTGAAAACAAACTGAAACCTTTGGGGGTGTTCGTGTCATTTTTGAGACCTGAGGGGGTTTTGTGAAAACATAAGAAACCTCAGGGGGTGTTAGTGTAAATAACTCTTCAAATTTTTCATTGTCTTCATCATCTCGATATTATCGATATTATAGCGATATTTTGGCCAAATGTTGTTGAAGTGTGATAGAAATTATCAACGTCAATATTATCATCGATATTATCGATACTTATATGATATGTGTATGGATATGTTCCAAAATATCCAACCCGAAAAAAGATAATATCCTCGATATTTCGTTGATATTATCAATATTTTAGTCCTTGGTAGAAACACATTGAAGTGATTAATTACATACTAGAAAAGAAACACGCTTTGCTAAAAATTTCGAATGTAGCTTACCTGCCAAAAGATGTAATTGGGTTCACATATGCATTATCATTCAGACTATTCTAGATGAGAGACCTTGAATCTCATATAATAAAATATATATTAGACAAAAGTATTCTATCAAACTTTTGAGTCAACTAGGTTGGCACCTACATACTTATCGATTACTTGCACTTTACTACCTTAAGGTGCAAAACAAAACAAGAATAATAAGTTATTACAAGTCATCTTCAATTTCCAATTACAATGGGTTTGTTTCTTTAAATATTTGTACATTTATAATAATTATATACTATTATTGATATTTATTATTTATTTATTTATGGATGGGTCGGGTCGGGTCGGGCTTAGAAGGGCTTTTTTGGGCTGGGCTTAAGCGAGCTTAACTGGACTGGCTGGGCCGTGAGTCGGACGAGGGTTTCAAATGCTAAGTCCAAGCCTTACTCAACTTTAGAACAGGCCGAACTGAGTGGGCCCAACCATCAAATTGGACCAGACTTTAGCCTGTCGGACCTTGGACTACCCACTTCAGCCCGCGATCCGTGGGCCAAATGATGACCCCTACTTTTGACCAATAACCATTATATATTTTAAAGGTTTTTGCGTTGGACAAGAAATAATTTGCTTTTCTTAAAGGTGACCCAAAAACCAATATGGACCCCATAATTCGATTATTTAAATGGGCAATTCCTTGTTCGTGCTTGTTAAGAACCAAATTCTTATTTCTTATTAGAGAAGACTCGAGAGAGTGAAACCCAACCCATTTCATTTCATACTTCAAAGATAACAACAACTTGAGTAAAAAGAAAAAAATTGATACTTTTTAATTAAATGCTCCATTTCAAACCAAAGACCAGTCCCCTAAATAATTTCATTATTTAAGTGGAGAATTTTAAACACTTGCATAGAAGAGTTATTTTACCATAATGTTCTTTTTAGTTAGTATACACAACTCACAACATTTTCACACAAAAATTTACCAAACAGTCAAAAACTAATTATTGTACCAACATCACTTTTAACAAAAAGTTTACCAAACGCCAAACTGCTTTCTTTCATAGCTAATTTCTCTCATAGCAACTATAACAACGATTATTTTCACCGCACAACAATGCCAAATTGGCCCTTATTGGGAGGGCGCTTTCTGACAACCAAAAACGCTTCTGATAATGTTTGGCAGAAAATATTAGAAATTCTTATGGGTAATAGAAGCACTTTTTAGAGAAGCACCTCCTATGTGCTTTTTGAACATGAAAATTTCAACATTTTTATAATAAAAGTGATTTTACTAGAAGCGCTTATGAGCACAAGTATTTCTTAAAAAAAGAGTCCTACACGAGCCATAAAAATAGATGAAAAAGGTAATTTGACAATTCAATGCAATGCCTTTGTTATAAGAAATATCAAAGCTCTTCA